TGTTTTACTTGTGTAAACAAAAAACAAAAAAATACGTACTTTAGATTTTTATTTGAAGCTGCTTTTGCAAATGATTTTTTAATAATAGTTTTTGTACTATGTAAATTATAACGTGGAAAATATTTCAAAACACTAGCTGGATAACCAGCACCAGCACTAAAATTTGATGTAACAAAATTATAATCATAATCAAATATTGCTGACATATCAATTTTCATTTGTTGATCTAATTATATTCAAATAAAAAGATAAAATTAATTAAATTTATTTTTATGATTATCTTACTAAAAAGTAAATGTAATAAAGGTGTACATTGATCTATATTTCCATGTATTGTATGACAAAGAATATTTGTTGTACCTATGAAAAAAAATTTCGTTTTAAATTCGAAGTTTTTTTTATTTTTATTTTGTATAATTCTACCATCAGGAACAATACATATTGGAAAAGGTATTGTTGGTAAATCATGTTCCATATCTAATCTATATTAAAACCAAAAATAAAAAAAAAGAAAAATATATTAATTTTGAATTATACTATATATAATGAATTATTTTACCTAGTTCGATTTTCTTTTGTTAAATAATGAATTAATGCATTGATAATATTAATTACTGATCCATCACCACCAATAATAACTAAACTAATAGAAAAAAAAACCAACAGGATACATCAAAAACAATAAAAAATAGAACTGTCGAAAAAATTTTTTTTTCCTACCTATCTATAGAATCAAAATCACCTTCAAAATTTTCTAATGCTTCATCAGCACTACAATGATCATCAATTTCTAAATAAATATAATAATGAATTAAATTAATTCTATTTTTTTAATATGTACCTATATATGTTATTTTATATTGTGCTCTATCTAACATTGTTTTTATTTTTGTTGAATATGTATGTCGAGTACGTCTTGGACCAGCATATGGATTTAACATAACAAGAATATGACGTGATGGTCTACCTAAAATAAAAAAAATAAAAAAAAACAATAGAACAAATAAAATTATTTTTATATTTAAAATTTTACATACGTTCAGAAATTATTTTTGATAATAATTGATACCAATGTTCAATTTGAGTAGGTTGACTACTTTGAAATATAATAAGCATTTCTTGTAAAATACCATCTGGCATCGTTTGAAAAGAATGTAATTGAAAACCACGTAGAACTGAATCTTGATTTGAATTCGATAAGGATATTCCTGGTACACTAATACTATTTACTGTAGATACAGAACCACTAGCCAATGTTTCAGCATTTAATGACCAATTATGATGAGTATGAAGTGGTGTGATTGCATAAATATTTTGAAGATTAACTGAACTTACAGGATCTCGACTTGCAGATTTTCGTCGACTAGTGTCCTCATGTGGAACTAAATAACAATAATATATATACATATATATAAATCAACAATTAAAAACTATATTTAATCTTAACATACTTTCACCTGTTACAGTTGACCAACTTAATGTTTCATTTTCTAATATAACTTCAACAGTAATATTATGAACTGTAAATAAGGCTCGTTCATAACATTTATCTGAATTAATATCACTAATATTTTTTTCTATTATTTGATTAGATAATATTGGTTTATTATCTTCTAATATTTCTTTATGATTCTGTTTTTCCTTATTATCATCATCTGTATCATTTCCAAATGCTAATTTCACTTTAGCTATATATAACAATAAAATACAAAAATTTCGAAAACAAAAAAATATAACTCTAAACATACCTGAAGGTGGTGGTCGACGTCGACGTTCTTTAGCAGACATTCAAATAGCTTGCACTCTCTACAAATAAATAGAAACAAAAGGCAACAACCGTTTCCTATGCTTTTTTTTTTTTTTTTTCATTTCTTTCTCATGTAAACCAATCGTTTTCATATGACACATTTCACTATGACGAAAAAAAAACACACACACACTCACATAAAATACAAAGATTCACTTTTTTAATCTAACCTCTCTAATATATATATATCTATATGTATAGTATTCCAATAGTACTTGTTAGTCTGCAATAATACAAGCATTCGATAAAAATGAAAAAGCTTGAATTAATGATTGATCGAAAAGGTAGAACAAAAAAATAAGAGAAAACGACATATAGGAATGAAGTCGTCATAGGAGACAACAATACGGTACTTTAATTTGTTCGTTCTTTCGTTTGTTGATGTATATATATATATATGAGTATATGCTAGCCGGTGAGCACTACTAAAGCAATAACAGACAAGTTGAAAGAAATGAAAAAGAAAGAGAAAACTGAGAGAGAGAGCGAAGTTATAATTCTTTTAGTGTTGTCGAAGAGAATCTTACCGATGTAAATTTTTTTTTTTCAAATTGAAGAAAAAGAAAAGAAAAGAATAGAATGCATTCAAAAATGTTGCTGTACTGATGATGACCTGCACCTACCTATTCAAGGCCATCTATAATGCATCTTAATTGATCGTTGGTTAGTGTTTTTTTGTTTTCTTGTTTAAAATTTATTAATTCAATAATAGTCGATTATTTCTTTTTCACTTGCATATTTTAATTTCTAAAAAAGTCATTATTTAGTATAATACAATAAGAATTTTATTTGTTTGTTGTTTCGAATATTTGTAAAATAGATAGATCAGTCTCTTTTTTTTGAAGATTATTACGATTTTTTTTCTTCTAAATTGACCTATGCGCATAGTGCCAAAACTTGAGTTATAACACAATTCAATCATGATTTTATATTAGTTCTTTTTTGAAGTTGTCTTAACGGAAGTTAATTATGCACATTTAAAAAAAAAAAAAACGACTCAAAAAAAAAAGAAAGAGTAGAAATATATTTTTCTTCAATATGTCAGTTCAAGTAAAAGCTTACGGAATAAAAATGCAAACGTGTTTTTTTTTTTACTTAAAATACATAGTAATATTTTATTGCATGCATACTATATATTTAATGTAATTCGATTGATAGATGAACAAATCAACTGATTATCTTATGATATTAAAAAAAAAAATAATTTTCATTAGAGTAATTAAAGAATTCAATGATTCTTCTACTGGAAACACTTATAACAATAGGTTTCTAAATATTTTAATTTGATGAATTGAGAGTAGTAGTTATAACATGCATAAAAAATATATATTTCTATTTTAAATAATGTGTTAGGTTAAGTACAAATTCCATTAAATTCAGTATTATATGTAAATACCTCGTTACTATGACTAATTTAATGTTTATTTTTTTTAACACATCTTTGTGTTTATTTATTTATTGATGTCAGAAAAATAAATTGTTTTTTTTTTGTTTTGTTTTATGAAGTCACATGTAAAATAATTTTTAAAAATTATTATTATATACAAATATCATGATTTTTCTATAGTATTAATCACTAATTATAGATATGATAGAACTAATATTAGTATACAATTAACAAAAGTATTTGATTTTAAATAAATAATAAAAATATTTGAAGCATCATCTTCTCGAGCATTTATCAATATTCGAAAAGAATCATAGATTATCAAATTAGTATTTATCTATTTGATATGTTGTAAGTGTTCCCTAGTGATCTTGACATTAATTCTGGATTTACCTAAGAGTATTCTGTTGATAAGATTTTTAGTTTTATAATGAAAAAGCAAATATGATACTGATTATTTTCAATATTATTTGTTCAATATAAAAGTAAGATGAAATGAATACATTAATATTTACATATGATAATGTACTTTTATATCGAGCAATACACTTTTTGTTCTTTTTTCATTGATTCATTGTAGAAGAAAGCAATAATCATATGTTGCATCGTATTTCAATATCCCTATTGTATTCCTATGAAAGATTTTAGTCTGGATAAGTTTAGTGAAAATTCATTTGACACATCATTATGATCTTAGAAGGTATATTGACGTTGCAATCAAATAATGTCACTAACAGTTTTCTTTATAACTGTATAGACAAGTGTTATAAATTGAGTTTTGATAAGCTCTTATCTTGTGTCTTATAAAATCATAAATTGAATATACAATTATATAGATTAGAAGTGATAACCTTTGTGAAATCTAATAAATATATTATTTCTATTCTATTTCATTAAAAAAACTTTACAAACTAATACTTTTTTCTTTTTTTGTAATTAATGAATATGTTCGAGGGAATATGATTATTAATTTCACACATTTACCAGGTATTCAAATTAACTAATCATTTCCAGACATGCTCTATATATAAAGAATTGAACATTTTCTTTTTTCCTTTCTTAGAAATGTTATTATATTATAGTAAACTGATGACAAGTAACTTATCGAAATTAATAACTTGCTATTTATCCCGAGGGAATTTCTTCGGTGACTCTCTCCCAGGTTTAATGATTTTTGTGTTTTTACCTTTACATACAACATAATGTTCTAATCAAAACCCTAAAAGAATTTAGATTCTTATTGATATTTTTAGAGATATGAAGTTTTCAAAAAAATGTATCTTTGTATAGACTGAGTCAATATTTTGACAGTCTCATATCTCAAAGAGAGAATGTTATGCTTGAATTGTGAAGAGACAAAAAATTTCAATGATTTAATATGTGTCTCAAAAAGAAAAATGAATAATACGAATTGATTCAATTCATATCGATTGTTTTTCTTTTTCCATATAACCAAAAGCTAATAAGTCTGTCTGATAAGTTTCAAAATTATTAGACGTGACAATTACAAATTTAAACTTTCAATATTTCGAATAAAACTGTTACACAATAATATATTTTTATTACATTAAAATCTCATATACAAATCAGTCTGTTTATATTCAAGTATTTTAAATGCAATAAAATAATCTTGATTACATAGAAATGCCATAGTGATCAGTTTATTGTAGTTTCCTATTATATGACATATTCTTTAGTAATCATAAATTCAATCAGCGAAAAATACTTACGGATATAATATCTATCTTGAATATATATATATCATGATCTTATGTATATTTAAATCAACAAACATTTGAATCAATCTCAATGAATATTTTGTTCTTCACGTCGTTTGATTTCTTTCGAAATAAGTTTTTCTTGTATATGTGTAGGTAGTGCAATATTTAAATTGAAAATAAAAGGTAGTATTGATCGAGATATTCCTATAAAATCAATTAAGACTTTTATAAACATAGTATCATTTATAATATATAAATTTTCATTTTCAGTTTTATTAAATTCAATTAAAGAAAAAAATTTTGGAATTCCTGAAGCAATATTCATTTCTGAACATGGTCGTTGAAAACTTATACTAGTTATATCAGGTCGAAAACTATCAATAATATGTTTAGGTTGTATATTTCCATTTGTTTCAATTATTGTTCGTTGATCAAAAAGACAAAATGATACACGATAAGAAAATGGCCATTTCAATAAGCTATCATATGAACCTCGAAGTATTAAAAGAAAAATTGATATATGAGAACCTCGTGCTGAACCATCACCATTAAGATAAAGTCGAACACATAATTTATATCCAGTATTTGATGTATAGAAAGCAGGTGAATAAATACTTGTTCGTCGTTCTGATTGAGCATCATATGTCTTTTCACGAACATTAATTATTTTCCAAACTATTGTTCCATTAGGTCCATCTTTTATTATTTGATTTTCATTTTCTACTTGTTGTTTTAGCATTGTGATATCTTGCATTAAAATATTTTGATTAAGTAATATTGTATCAAGATATGATTTTTCTAAGGAATTTATTATCTCCATATTATTCAATTCTTGATGAAGATTTGTATTTTGTTGATGACATTGAAGCATTTGAACATATATTTGTGTCAATTGATTATCAATTGTTTCAATATTTGTTGCTACTATGGATAATTTTTCATAATTTTTCATTAATAAAGTTTTCCCTTCTTCCATATCTGTATCGGCTTTGGAAAAAACACCATTTGTACTTACCATAATTGACTGAGCACATCTGACAAGACTTTTTTGATGCTGTTCTGAAGTATAATGTTCTTGTAATGAACTCTCATTGAGCTATAAATATATAGACAACAACAAAAAAAAAAGTTTAATATCATTCAGCTGTTTTTGTTTTACAACTACCTCGATGTTTCGACAATCATAAACAGTCAATGGACATTTTCTTCTATTAGATACATCAGATGTGCTATGAATGTTGTCAAATTTATTTATATCCTCATCCATCGGTTCTGAAATATTAAATTACAAATTTTAAGTTTCAGAAAATACAAAGATAATTATTTATGAAAGAATATTTTTACAAATGTATTATCTTTTCCTCAAAAGATAACACATTTGTAAAAAAAAATATCATTTTCTTACAAAAGCTTTCAAGACAAGCGCATTTTTATGTATCAAATGTTGAGTAGCATAGGCAAGAAATTCTGACTATGGGCGATAACTTTTTAAGCCGTGACTAGGTATCTGAATCATTTTATTTTCACAGACAATATTTTTTTCGTGAATTCTAATATCGTCAAATGAATTTATGATCAAAAACTGGTCTAGATAAAAACATGATTCGTAGCATTTTATTTGCATTGTTTTTTTTTCATTACCAAATGGATTGATTACTATCGCAGTTGGTAATTATGTTAGTTGGGTGTCGATGTATTCATTGGTGAAAGTGTCAAGCAAAGACTCACACTCATACACTTTTCAATGAACACTTTCAAAAGATAATAAGTACTATCAAATCTGTTATCAGTGAAGTTTTCAAACAGAAACTAACTATTGCAGTTTATTTTCTTAGGCTTCTTTACAATGCTGAAAATCCCATGGATATGAGCTCTTTTTCTTTGAAGATTTTTAAGGAAAGTCTAGTAGGATGATTCTTCTGCAATTGAAACAATTCGGTTGTATGAAATCTTGATATTAAAGTATCCTAAAGGAGCATCTAAAAGTAGGCAAATGATGATGGATGTGGGTGTAGCTGTCGTGAAGGTATACAAAAGATCTTCAGTCACATCGACACTCACACCCACATTCATAATCTACGACGAATTTATTCGATCATCTTCATGATCATTTTATCAATGATATATAGAAGTATCACAAAGATTATTTAGAATATTAAATATATGTGAAAATGTCATATAGACTCCACTGGTTCAGTGTTGATGAGAACTGAGCAAAGGTCAACATCTTAAATTTGATTTCATTTTCTTTGAACGCTTTGCTAAATGTGAATAGTTTCATGATTGATTATCAAATGTCCGTTGCATTTGATTGTAACTAATGTATTCTTCCTTCTATTGACAAATAGATAATCAAATATGTTCTCTTTTGTACGTCTAGTTGAATATTTATGTTTCTACGATGTATCAGTCAAATGATGATTGAACTACAATATAAACGTAAAATTCTTTCAAGAAATGTTCTTCATTCTTTATTATATCTTTCTTCATAATCTATTGTAAATACCATCGCTAATTTGTTACCATCTTTCATTCTATTTCACTATGATTAGGAATATTTCTCTTAATATTATTCTTGTTAATAATCAAATAATATCATATTCTTACTTTTACACATTTGTATTATGTTCAAAAAAACATTATCATATGAAATAGTAATCAGTTAACTTTTCTAATGAAATGATTGACAGAATCATTGACCATTTTTTTTTGTCTCGGAAATCCTATAGGATTATAATATGAATTCATTGCTTCTAAATTATGTTAATGAAAAGATAAAATAACATAGTTTTAATCATGTTGAACGAAAACCATAACATAATTCATCAAAAGAATTCTCCAACTTTTTTCCCATCAATAATAATTTTACAATTGTAAAAAAATTCCAATATAGAATATTCATTATTTCATCATATTGAATAATTTTATTACTAAAGTAAATACCTATCGATATGTTACGCATGCTAATATATATAAAAAAAATACTATTTTGTATTTTTTTTTGTATATTTAACAAGTCACAACACTTGATTGAAGTACTATGTGACATCTTCCATCGAAATACTTTTTATTCCCAATAAAAACAAAAATTCTTATTGTGATTAATGATATGTATAAAAACCCAGCCTAGAAAAACATTCTTCCTACCAGCTACAATATTTGACAATAATGAAAAATGATCATGGACACTTTATTTTACAAGGAAGTAGCTGTTGATTACTAACGTCCTAGGAAGAATCAGAAAGAAAGAAAAAGGAAAGTTTCATTTCATAAATTAATATAAAAAATTTTTTTTTCAACATACAAATAAACAATTGAGTAGTTGACTAATCGTATCAGAATCAAATATAAGAAAGAAGATACATAGGATGAAGCGACATACCAAATTATTGAGCGTATGTACTTCTGTCTTTCAAATTCTTCATAAGTTTCGGCAACTAATAGAATTTTAATTCCTCTTATTTGCTGTTATTTTCCAACTACTTAACAATAACCGATTGTCATACAACATAATACGATGCTTGGACTAATAACATGTAAAAAAAATATTGTTTTCAGTGAATATATAAACCATTGAATTAATTACATCCACAAAACCAATATATAAACTTTATGAAAATATTGAAAAAAAAGAAAGCTTATTATATAGAGATATGTAAAATATACCGATTACTCAAAAAGATTTACCTACCCCCAAAAAAAAGGTAAACATATTATACCTTGCTCCTATAAAATCAATCAAGAAAAAACAAAAATAACATAATTAAATAAAGATAAGAAAAGAAAAAAAAAGATCGCCGTTTTTCAACTAAATCTTTGTCACCAAGAGAGATATTCATCTCTCTTAGGGGCTTACTCAATTAAGTAGCCCAACAGCGCGTGCAGCAAAAAGAAAAAAAAACGTTTTTTTTTTTATAAAATAAATTATATAGATTGCTGCTGCTACTGTGACTCGACATCGTGTGAGAGACCGACCTGACTTTGAGTCTATGTCTGTCGTCGCACGAGCATATCATTCACATGTAAGCAGCCTAGAACAAGGCAGATAAATAAATAAATAAATATATATATATATAATATCAATGTTCTCTTCAATAATTTTTTTTTATCAACATACACATAGACATAATGAAACAAAACACTTAAGTAACAGAAAAAAAGAAAAGAAAAACAAAGTTAATCCAATCAGAGAGAATGAGAGAAGAAAACATTGATTGCAACAGAAGAAAAAGAGAATATGAAACCAAAAATTGAGAAATGTTCATCTTTGTTTATAGGAAAACAAAAAAAAAAAAGAAGAATAAGGAAAACATCCACGTACATTGTTTTATTTTTTGTTTTTTGGCAAGATCAAAAACGTGGACCATTAAATCCCATAGGTGGAAAACCTGCTGGTGGAGCCATAAATGGTAGACCACCCATTGGAGCTAAAACAAAAAAAATATTTTAACAAAAAAAAAAACTTAACGAACAGAAGAAAAAAAAACATACGTCGAACAAAATTAGCCATTGAAAGACCAGCAGGCATTGGTGGCATTTGCATTTGTTGTGGCATCATCATTTGTTTATATTTTGGTAATGAAGCACGAAATTCTTCCTAGAGAAAAACATAAAAAATGATTTTATTTTATGAATATATAAAATTTACTAATGATATATCATCATCTGGATGTATAATTTTTGCTGTACCAGCAACAGGTTCAATTTTTCCTCTATTACCAGGTAATGATCCAGATGTTGTAGCTGATAAATTTGATATAGCTGCTGCAGCTGATACCATTGTTGTTAAATTAGATGATGAATTTGTATCATTATTTGTCTAAAAAAAAATGCTATTAAAAATAAAAATTTATTTTTTTATTTCAATTAAAACAAACATCAGTAGCTCCACTTGGAAATAATGGTTTAGTTGGAATAAGATTTGCTGTTGTTGAATTACCAGATGTTGGTGGAATCATAGGTACTGGTGGTGGTCGTAATGATGTCATCATTGATACAGGAGGCATCATAGGTAATGGCATAGGTGTTATACCAAATGGCATACCAGGAAAAGCCATTGGCATCATTGGTGCAGTTGGCATCATACCTATTGGTGGCATTGGTGGCATACCAATTGGTTGAGGTACTTTAATAGTATCATTTGTATCTGGTTCATCTTTATCTTTTCCCGAAAGACGTTTTTCATGTGCACGAAGATCTTCTTCTGGTATACCTTCCATACCATAAATTTCAATTTCAATATTATCTCGACCTTTAATTGCATTTGGTACTTTATCAATATTTTCTTTATGTACCTTAAATATGAAAATATTTATTTTAAATAAAAATAATATTTTTTTTTAAATTATACTTGTATTGAATGAATTTGTAAACCGGGTCCGGTATATAATTTTTTATGACATAAATGACATTTAAAATGTTTTGCTTTTTGATGTTGTAATAGAATTTTTTCATCATCAAATTCACGATTACAATACCAACACCAAGGTTTTGTTTGTTTCTTTTTTTTTCGACCCATATTTAAATAGATATATATATATATAAAAACAAGACTAAAAATTAAAATATATTTATATCAATATTATTTTATGTCACTAAAAAAATTGAATTGATTTCTTTCTTTTTTTTTTCCTATCTAAAATAATAAATACAAAAAAACAAACGACAATACTGATTAAAATATTACATAAAAAATAAAAATAATAAATCTTTTTTTTTTTTTTTATGATGTTCCTATAATACGATCTAATGGATCTTTAAGTCGTTGAAGATCATGTTCAATCATCATTATTTCATCTTTTAATGCATTATAACGTATTAAATCAAAATTTTTCTTTTGTAATAAACGATGTAAAATTTTTAAATAAAAATAATCAGACATATTCATATATTTCATATCATTTCGACGAAGTATATAATAACAATAACCTAAAAATACAGCTGAATACGATATAAAATATGTAAAAGGTTCCATTATATCCCAACTAAAATATAGAAAAATTTATGAAATAAAATTGCTTTTATGTGATTATTATTAATATACCTGTAATCAATCCATATTAAACGAAATAAAATACCAGTTTGAAATGACATTGCAGCAAAAATCGACCATTGTATCCTAAATAATAAAATTTTAGATATATTATTTTGAACTAGAATATTAACTGCAAAAAAGAAAGAAAACTTAATGAAATTTATTATATCTTACAACTTTTGATTTTCTCTAAGATGTGTAGGAATCAAAATTTTTTTGAAGTTCGATTTCGGTAGCTTTTTTTATTTATCGGAACGATCTCAGACCTTTCTTTTCTGTTGGTCGTAGTCTAGAAAAAATGCGAAAACCTCGGATTTAAATCCGAGTCTTAGGTGTACTTCAAAAAGTGAACAGGTATATTCACTTTGTTTTTTATCATCTAAGACATATCTAGGCAATTTGCTTTCTGGATGCAGTTTTTGTGCATTTTGAGACCTTTTTCAGGCGATGTTTTGTTAGAAAGCTACGATTTGGTTCAAAACTAATATCAAATTCGGAATCAGCGTTAAAAACTGAGTCGATTTATATATGTTGTGAATAATTCTGAGAAAAAAATTTTTTTTTTGAAAAAATCCCTGTACTCCCCCTCAGGGATGGTCTGGCCAATAATGACAATTTTTTTGGATAACTCAGCCATTTCTTGACGGATCCTTCTCATCTTCGAACTCGACCGAGACATTGATGAAACTGAACTGTGTAGAAAATTTCATCACGATCTCACTCTCCTTTCGAAAGTTATCGTGTAAACGGCCGGGCCGGACGGACACACTGACTGATTCTATAGTGTACTCACTTTTTGAGTACACAAAAAAAAACCAATTCAAAGATTTATTGATTGAATAATTCGTTTTGTTTTTTTGCTGATTTAGTCAATGGTTAGCATTTTTTTTTAATTCATGAAATAATTTTCTTAAAACCATAGGATATTTTACTGTGAGTTTGAGTTTCGACCACGGGAAATTTTTTCTTGTAGTTCACATGTTTTTATATCAAACTCGTTTCTATTGTTAACAAAAAAAGTTTAATCATTGTTTGTTTCGATCAATCATTATTATGATTTGCTAGAGCAAACAATGCCTATCAGTCAAGAAAGAATAGCATATATACATCTATTAATCATTATTTCCTTCGGGTAACTCTATTTTCTAGATCGAATGCAGAAAAAAAAAACTAAACGATATAAAGAATTTCAAAGTTATAAAAAAAAAGTATTTTCTAATAAATTTCATGAACTATTGATTGGTTAAGAAAATAGAAACATTCGTTCCGTCTTTGATATATGGATAAAATGTCTGCAATGGTTATAGAATGCCTTGAAGACAAATAAATAATTTGTTACCAATAGAAATCAAAAAAAAATCAGAGCATCACTTGTCATTCAATCCTTCTTTTCTATGACATGATCACTGAAGTAAACATAAGCAAGCTAATACTCTATTTATAAAACGTATTTTGTCTATTCTATCTAAAGAAGCTGACGAAGGAAGTACCCGAAGTGTCTTCTCGATTTCGGAGCTCATATTTTGCCTACAAGTAGATCTCAATGTTCGTGGCCAAATCCTATTCAAATTTGTACATATGGGCTGACTTTATGACTATTTTACTGAGTTTTCAATACCAGGCAAGGTAGTTCATGGAAAATCAAATGATGGCATTTGGGCTTGAAATTTTGCCCAGGAAAAGGTCTCATGGTTATTAGAATGTCCTACGAATTTTAGCCAAAACAAATGCTTTATTCTTGAAATACTAAATTTTCTGACTTCTTTTTTGACCGTCTAATATCTTAAGGATAAAGCATTTGTTTGATTTTTCCATGAATTGTCTTGCCTGATTTTGAAAATCCAGTAAAATGATCATAAGTCGGCTTTAGCAGCCCATGGGTACAAATCCTTTTAGGTTTTAGCTACTGACAGTGAGATCTACTTGTGGGCAAAATATGAGCTCGACGTCGAGAGAACACTTCCCTTGTGTGACTTTAAGTATAGAATTACTAACCATTTTAAACGTCGAATAGCTTTATTAGCAAGTTGATGATGAATTTCATTAAGTGGTTGAACAGAATCACGTAAAAAAGCTAATTGTTTTTCTAATTCATGTTCACGATACATAATATATTGATTAAGATGTAAATCATGATAAAGTTTTGTAACTGAATTTGATACATCAGAAAGCATATCTCGAGCTGATTTATTTGCAGTAAATAATGTTGGTGGTTGAACATTATATGATATTTCATTAATACGTAATGTAAATGGTTCTTCGAATATTAAATCAAAAGGTGAATTTCGTGAAAGACGAGATCCATCCGAAAGATATATAGATGCTCGATCAATACCTCGATCTTCTTTTTGTAATATATCAATAAAATCTCCAACTGTTGTATTAAATGGTTTTAACTAATAAAAAAAAAGAGAAAAGAAGTATTCAAAAATTTTTTACATAATTAAGACATTATTTACTTGAAAAACACATGATTCTCCTCTACTTGGTAATGGTACTGTTATATTTGCAAGTCCATCTTTTAATTCAATTTGTACTGATGATGTTGCTACAAGACGAATAAATTTAAAATATGTTGAAGGATTATATTTTGTCAACAGAATTCGTTGAAATAACATTGTTTTTTTTTGTCTATAAATTACATCTACAATATAAAACTATTAAAAAAAAAAAACGAAAACAAATAAAAGAAATTCATTCTAAATATCACATTAAAAAGATCATTTATTAACTGACAGGACAATCACTATCACCCTCTTTTTTCATATTTAATTTTTTTAATTCATCATGTACTTGTTTTTCTAAGTCAAGAATAGCTTTTGGTTTTTTATACTAAAATTAAATGAAATATATTTAATAAATTAAATAGAAAAAAAAAAAAAACTTTTATTCTTACACTTATAATTAATGTATTATTTGCATGAGAATATGATAAATTATTTTCTTCTAATGGAAGATTTAATCGATCAAGATCAGCAATTGAAAAACGTTTAAAATATCTTAAAGAAAATAAAACAAAAAAAAGAATTTTGATTTTCATAAATTGTGTTTTATTTTACTTTTTATTTGTTGTTCGTAAAATAAATTCTCGTTTATCTTTATCAATTGTTAATTGATATATATCAATTGAATATGGTAAATTTCGTATACGAATTTCAAAAGAATCATTTTTATCATTACGTGAAAATATTGGCTAAAAAAACAAATCTTTGTTTTTTTTTTTAATAGAAAAATTAATAGTTACTGTTGTAGTACTTTCTGTCATACCAAGTGTATTATCTGCAATTGGTCGTGTTTCATAATTTTGACCAATTTCAAATGTCCATACATCTGATGTAGCGAGAGTTTTTAAACCGCTATTTGATTTTTGACGCCATTTTCGAACTAGTTTTTTTTTTTTTTTTTGGAAATTAGAATATTATTTTTTATAGAATTTAGTTTATCATACTTAAAAGTAGATTAGTTTTTGCATCATATTCTTCTACCATTTCTGTTTGATCATCGAATGTATAATGAATTTTTTTTCGATCTTGAAATATATTTTTAGAAAGATTTTAATAAAGAAATAAAATAATACCATTTTGAAGAAGACCAGCTTTTTTAGCTGATTTTAATTTTTCAATCCAGACTGATTTTGTTGTATCGGTCATTTGTCTTCTATGATAAATATAATCAGTACTTTCGTGACTTGTTTGCAATCTATTTGTGAAATGTAACAATTAAATCTATCCGTAGAATATCTTTACAAGTTCATGTGCAATGAAATTTTTTGTTGAGATTTTTATGAAAATTTTAAATTTGATTTTAAAATAAATTGGAAAGAAAATTAGCAGCAAGTTTTAGACTTTCTTTTTAATTATATAAAAATTTTTGAAATAGATGTCGTTAGTATTCACCGATCATTTAAAGAAAAATTTAATAACGATTTTATTAATCTGTTACAGATTGGATATTAATTTAGTGAATAAGTAATGACGTAATCAGAAAAGGGTTGAAAGACGAACGCTTACTCATCTTTATCATGTCTACAGAGGGAGCAGACTAGTGGCGTATCCGGGATTTTTCGGTATGCTGGATTTCAACTTCAGAGCATGGGACCCAAATGAAACTTATAGAGATATGATATTGGGTCCAAATGATGAGTTTTTATCAAAAGATTTTTGTAATGGGAGTTTGCGAAAAAAATCAGCATTTTCCTGAGCCTCACCAAGATTTTTCTTTTTCTATTAGTAGTATCCTGATTTTTAGAATTTAATAGTAAGCTACATCGAAATTCATCGACAGATTTCAAATTTCATTTAAAAATATGCATCCGTTCACAAGTTATAATGTTTTGGAAATTTGCTGCATGCTGCTAAAATTTTAGAAAAAATTCGAAACATTGTAACTCGTGAACGGATGCATATTTTTAGGTGAAATTGGAAATCTGCTGATGAATTTCGATGTAGCTTACTATTAAATTCTAAAAATCAGAATACTACTAATAGAGAAAGAAAAATCTTGGTGAGGTTCAGGAAAGTGCTAATTTTTTTCGCAAACTCCCATTACAAAAATCTTTTGATAAAAACTCATCATTTGGACCCAATATCATATCTCTATAAGTTTCACGTGGGTCCCATGCTCTGAAGTTGAAATCCAGCATACCAAAAAATCCTGGATACGCCACTACATACATATCCATAGATTGATATTTATCAATAAAATTATTAAGAATAGATTTGTCTATGATCAACCTAACTCGTACTTTTATAGATAAGACTTGACAGTTATAGATATATTCAGTTCAAATTTATGTCTCTCTTCCACACATGATATTTTCAAGTAGAAAAACGATTTGATTATCAAGTAATAATTTGATCTTCGAATATATAAAATTCTCGCAAGTGACATAAAGAAAAATAGATATGTTCATTGTTTTTTCTTTTGAGGATTATTGGTTTCGTGATGTTTTTGTCATTTCTTTTTCGAGATAATTTGTTAATCAATAAATTATATCGTAACTATAAAGAGAAAAGAATTATCCACTGAATACTCTTCATTTTAGATTTTGAGATAAATTAAGAAGATGTCAAGATTTTGAAAAATAAGCATTAAGTTAGAAAAGAATTATCTTGTTGCTAGGAGTTATGACAACTGATAAGAGAAAACGATAACTTCAAGCGCCACCATAAAATATCGGCTCCTTTATCTTAAAAATCTAAACATATATTATACATAAGTTGGTGGTGATAGTTTTTATTCATTAATATGATTAGAGAAATGAAAATCTAAGCCTCTATTTCCAATCTCTTCCTTGTTTTACAATTCATTTGAGAAAACTAAGCTTGATAATCATTGACCATCCAGTAAGTCATGAATAATTGAACACATAGAACATTAGCTTAATTATCAATGACATAGAACTAGCGACCAAATAGAATATCGAAATAAAAACCTAACTCAAGTATCAGATAACAATGATATTTCCACAGGTTAGACTATGAAAGTATGATATCTATATCAACGTTGAAAAGAATCGCTCAGAATCGTTGCTGGCGTCTAGGCACGACGCATACTTCGTTCTCTTTTTCTTCTACCAATCATTTTCTCAAAGTTCATCGAACATCAAGAAGCTGTGATTCTGTAAGTCTCAAAGCTAACACTAATGCAGCGTACATGTGAACAGCGGTAAACGTTGCGCAGAGTGATTTTTTTCCATCTCTCTCTCTCTC